GGCCGAGATTGTTCCCGGTGTGCTGTTCATCGATGAGGTTCACATGCTCGACATTGAGTGCTTTTCATACATCAACCGCGCCCTGGAAGACGATCTCGCACCCATTGTCATCATGGCCAGCAACAGGGGCAACTCCCGCATCCGTGGAACCGACTACCGCAGCCCCCACGGTCTGCCCCTCGACTTCCTGGACCGTGTCGTCATTATTCACACAAACACCTATAGCCCCGAGGAGATCAAGCAGATCATCACCATCAGAGCTCAAGAAGAGGAGGTTGATGTCTCAGCTGACGCTCTGGCATTGCTCACAAAGATTGGCCAGGAGGCGGGCCTGCGCTACGCCAGCAACCTCATCACCACCTCACAGCTGATTTGCGCCAAGCGCAGGGCGAAGCAGGTCGAGATTGCCGACGTCCAGAGGAGCTTCTCGCTCTTCTACGACCCGTCTCGCAGCGTCAAATTCGTGTCCGAGTCGGAGAAGCGCTTGATTGGCAACGACGGTGCCGTCGACTTTACCGTCACTAATGGCCATGGCGATGCGATGGAATTGAGTTAAGCGTGTTAAAGGGTCTTCCATGTTGGGCGTTTTTGGGCAGTAAAATAGGTGGCCACCCCCCTGGGACGTATGATAGATTATGTACCATAAATGTTTGAATGGTAGCATCGTGACGATGCCAGGAATGCAAGGCTTTTTTATTCATTTATCCGTCTTTATTACATGGTATACTTTCTTTCTGAGTGGGTTTCAGCTGGCGGAACGATCATTCAAACGTCGCAACCCTCGTCCAGGAATCATCACCAACCGGCCGGAACTCAACGCCCTCACCGAAGTATCCGGCATCCTGCCATGCCTTCATCGTGGGCCCATCGTACGGCCCTTGTTTCTCAGCATTATCCCGCCCATCCGTCCAACGGAACTCCCACATCCTCGAGGACAAATCGTCATCAGCGTCGTCCTTGGCCGGCTCAACCCACTGCTCGCCCGTCTCCCGCTGCCACTCGCGCACGAGCATCTCCCTCTCCTCGTCGTAAATCTCGGCGTGATCTCGACTCAGCAGCTTGTCCGCCGCGTCGGTGATGGCCTCAATGGCCTCTTTCCTCTTCTGCTGCTCGGGGCTCAGCTGGTCCTTTTCCTTGTCAACGTCCATGGCCTCCTCGCCGCCGCCCTTGCTCTGCTTCTTGAGCTTCCATTTGGGTATCTTTCTGGTTTTGGGCTGCCCCTTGCCCAACCTCGCCAGGGCCTCGAGGGACGTCTCGCCCCTTTCTAACCTCACGATGAGCGCTTTGAGCAGGTCCGTCGTCAAAATGTCGTCGTTCTCCATCCGTAACCTCCGCGCCTCGGCCTCGCGCTTCTCATGTGCGTCCGCCGCCTTCTTCAGATCCTTTTTACTCAAACCGTCGAGCCACTTGTCGTGCACGGCGTTCGGGTCCACAGCTTTCCTGATAAAGTTTCCGTCCTCGTCGAAGCGACCCTCCTCTTGCTCGTCCTTCATGTTGAACGCCTCGACCTTGGGCGCGTTACGTTTCAAGCCGCCCAGCCCGACCTCCTCGTCGATACCCTCCTCCTGCATCGCCAGCTCTTTGTCTTCTTCGTCGTCGCTGCTCTCCTCGTCGTCTAGGCGGATCTGTCCTCCGCTTTTGCTGTGCAGCTCTTGACCCTGAATCTGTGCGTCATCGAGGAAGCGCACAGCCTTGTCCTTCCCTGCCGCCTTGGTCCCTTCCTGCGCCGCCTTGCCCTCCTTCTCTCCGTCATCGTCGTCCGCGGCAAACATGTCGTCGTCCTCATCGTCGTCCTCGTTAACTTTGCCCCCCTTGCCGTTCGCGCCGCTGTCCTTGGCATCGTAATTATCCAACTGGCCAAAGAAATCCGCATCGCCATCCTTCCTGCCCTTATGCTTTTCGTTGGCGCGCGACTTGAAGTTGCGCTCGTTGTCCGAGTCGCTGTCGTAGCCGTCCAGGTTCACGGCGCCGCGCTTCGTCGCTCCTCCGCCGCCGCCAATGACGTCGGCATCGAGGATGGCGTCTTCTTCCGGCGCATCGGGGGCCAGGGCGGAGGGGTTGCGGACGTCAAACTTTAGCTTCTTGGAGTCGTGACCGTCGTCTGCTTCGGCGTCGTGGTGGTGCGTTCGCGCAAAGGTTTCGCCTGCCCTTTTTGGGCGCGCTGCTGAGTGTCTGGAGGCCATGATTCGGGCTGGCTATGCCTGGGGATGTGATGTGGGTTGTGACAGATGAGGAGTTAAAGTGCGGCGAGGCTGGCTGAGCTTTGTCTTGGAAGAGCTTCTTTCTAGGTGGGCTGGATGCAGCAGCTCTAATTCCAAACGTCCCGTTCTAAGTTTCCTGGAATGCATCTGGAGCTGAGAGCGGATACCTCGAATCCCCTACAAAGTTGCATGGGCATTAAGGTACCGACTGGGGTATCGGGCATGTCATTTTTTGGTGGAGCCCAGTCGAACTTCCAGCGGGTTTCGCCATTCATCAGTTGCCTTTGCGGCCCCACGTAAACCGCGGACCCTCCTTCATCACACCCAAAGGCCAAAGCTACCTTCTTTCACCACCTGCAGCTACAACTGCTCTGATTCAAAGAAAGCTGCCCAAGCTAGCTTGACAACACATCGGATTTCACGTTACCGCTTTTTATTTTCCTTCCTCTGCTTCCAGAAAGATACCTTACTCAACAAATCCCCCGCTCGATGGTAAGCTAGCTGTCCAATTCACCTCTTCGCCCCAGCTGATTCTGAGCTCTCAGTATCGTTTCGACCAAAACGAAGCAGACATGTATAACTTCGCCCGCGGTGGCCGCCGGCCGATCGTCCAGAGATTCGACGAATACTACCGATGCTACCCCATGGTTATGGCACCTGGTCCCGAGCGACCCGACCTCAACTACGGTTCCAAGATCTTCCTGCCGCCCTCCGCCCTAGACAAGGTCTCGAAGCTCCACGTGCAATGGCCGCTGCTCATGGAGATTATAAATGGCGAGAAGGGAAAGCACTCACACGCCGGTGTGCTGGAGTTCGTCGCGGAGGAGGGCAGAGCATACCTTCCCCACTGGGTTCGTGCTCGTAACCTGTCCTTGGCCCGCACTGGCTGTAGCGGAGGTGGCGTTGCTAACGTGTGAGATCAGATGATGCAAACCCTCTCGCTGGACGTCGGCGACATGATCCAGATCAAGACGACTTCCCTCGAGCTTGCCAAGTTGGTTAAGCTGCAGCCCCAATCGACCAACTTCCTCGATATTAGCGATCCCAAGGCCGTGCTGGAGAAGGCATTTAGGAACTTTGCCGCACTCACCAAGGGTGACGTTTTCAACTTCGAGTACAATGACGAGATCTACCACGTGGCGGTTCTCGAGGTCAAGCCGGAGACGGACAAGATGGGAGTGTGCCTGATCGAGACCGATGTCGAGGTCGACTTTGCGCCACCAGTCGGCTATGTCGAGCCAGAGAGACAACAGCGAGGAAGCGGGACCAGCACACCCAGAAGCGGCCGCGGTGGCCTCCCGGCCGGCGGCCTGCTCCATAGTCAAGGATCTATGGCCCAGTCCATCAACTACGGCGCTATCGCCCCCGGCACGGCGACGACCAACTCCAAATTCTCTGGCGAGGGCCAGAAGCTCAGCAAGAAGGGGAGCAAGGCGTCGACGCCCAAGCCCGCGACTCCCGTGGCGGGCGCCTCGGCCAACCCACCCGCTTTGCCCATCCCCCGCCGGAACAACAACGGTCCCATGCCGCTTCGTCTCCCGCCTAACAAGCTCTTCTTCGGATACGAGATCAAGCCGGTCAAGACCGACGATGATAAGAAGCGCGAGCTAGAGGAGCAGAAGCGTCCACACTTTGCGGGCCAGGGCCAGACACTTCGAGCCAAGCGCAAGGGCGAGGCCGAGGAGAAGGAAAAGGCTCCTGAAAAGAAGGGCCCTGCGGAGGGACGGAGAGTGGACAGTCGCGGCCCTAAGCCTCGCGGCATTGAGTGAGATGACAATGGGCGGGTGAGAACATATTTGTGATTTGGGATGGATCAAAGTGGCGTTCGGGGGTATGATGGGTAATCATTCTGGGAGCATGGTTTTAATTACCAGCATCGTCTGGGACAGTCAAACGGTAATTAGATTCCCGAAAATGAAGTGATTGAGACTACGTACGAGTGCCGTGCTTGAGACGATCTTCGTCAACGATATGATGGCCGAAAGCAAAGAGACCGACGGCACACAACATCAATGTGAGCAGTACCCTCATACTTATCTTGTCGCTACCGTTCACAATGGCGTTGTCGTAAGAATCGAAGTCGATACAGCACCAGGTCCTCACTCAGAAAACAATCAGTGCACTCAAGGTTAGCAGATGACGACTTCCATTTCTGACTAGAAAGAAAAAGCTAGCAAAAGAGCAAACTTGCTTCTGTACGAGCCAGATGTGAAGTCCTCCGCAATCAGTATCAAAAGAGGCGGTAATCTCAGCCATACCCCGTCAAATCAGTCCGTTGAAACCATTTCTCTCCGCCAGAGATTCCTTATAAACGATGAGCCACCTGGCCAACCCGGCGAAAAGAAAACCAAACCTAAAAACCTTTCCCCCCCTTTCCAGGTTCCGTCAAATTCCAGTCTCCATTATCCCAGAACCCCCCCGTGGTCTCCTCCTTCCCTCCATTGCCACTTCAGATCAATCAACCCAATGGCGGCGGTCGTTTGTTTCAGTGTTGCGAAGAAGAGAATGTGTCCATGGTGGGCAGGAAAAGGATGAAGAAGCCGAGAAACGAACGAAAAGCTGATGAGAGAAGGGAAAAAAGCAAAAAGAAAACCGTTCCTGATGCCGAAAAAAATGCCAGTTTCTGTCGAACCACCTTGCCGTCAATGCCAGTAGCAGGAAATGAAGAAAGGGTAGAGAAAAAAGGACGGCGAACGAAAACCCTTCTTTCTCAAATCTCCCCTCCCATCATTGAAGTCATGAGAGCAGGGTAATCCAAGGAAATGAGTTTCATCGTAAACCAATCCCCCCTATCCTCATTTAATCCAAGACCATCGCGTTCGCGTTCGCAGCCTCGGCAGCCTCAGCGGCAGCCTTAGCAGCAGCCTCCTCCTTCTCGGCTGCCTTGCGCGCATTGATCGCCATGAGCTGCTGGCGACCCTTCACGCAGGCGATCCAGACACGCTTCTCGAGTTCCTCCTAGGCGGGATCCATGACGTGAACGTAGGTCTTGACGGACGGGTCGGGCTTGGGGTCGCTTCTGACGGCGTTGAAGTTGCCTCTGGTTTTGAAGCGGGCCTCGGTGGCAGCGGCCTCGGAGATGGTCAAGCTGCGAAACTCTTTAGTGAGGTCCATTTTGGAAAGTGGTGAAGGCTTTTGAAGAGAAAGTTGTGTATCTTGTGAAAGTTGTAATGTGGGAATAGAAAGTAGAAGTGTAGTTGGACCTTGGATTGTAGGAATTGAGGTGTGAGGTATGGAAGATGGAAATATGGAAAGACGGAAGGTAGTGATGGAAGGTAGGGAGTAGGTCATGGGGTCAAATTCGAGGGTAAGGGGTAAAGGTAGACAACAGACGGATGCCGGACGAGCAGGAGGATCGTTTCCTTGCTGTTGAAGCTGGGAGAGCCACAAAAACACCAACAAAAGCTCAGGATTTGAAGTGCTGGGATGACCAAAACGGGGTCTAGGTAAAAACATAGGAAATGAAATAAGAATTTGTAGCAACATACCTGCGCGAGCGAGCAGCACGAGTGAAGGAGGGAATGCTGCCATTGCCCTCAAGCTTGATCTCGACCTGATGATCGCCGGCAAGGTCACCAGTGAGGTCAACAGGCTGACCGTTGAGACCAGAGGCAGAAGCGGCGTTCTCCATATTGGCATCAGTGTCATTGCCGGTGAGATCAATATGCTGGCCGTTAAGACCAGCAACAAGACCTCCGTGAGAAATCTTGACACGCTTCTTGGAGTCCTCCATGTCGGGCTCAACATCATCAACGCCATCGTCAGCCGAAAGCGCAAGAGAAGCCATCTCGTTGGCAGCCTGGACCGCGCCAGAACCACCGGCAATAGAGGTTCTAGCTACTCTAGTGCCGGAGCCAGGGGCAGCACGCTTGCGGGAAGAAGGAACCAGAGCCGGGGTGACAGGCATGTCGGCGGTCGCTTCGAGGTGCTCATTGTAAGGCTTGATCAGAGACTTCGAAAAGCGCTGACTGTTCAAGAAACTGTGATTAGTCCTGCTGAAAACTGTATCAAGAGATAGTCACTCACCTGAGGGCCGCGACGGTGTAGCTGTAGCCGAGGCGGTTCATGCGGCGAGCGACGTTAGCCCAGTCAGGCTTCGTGCCAGTACCGCTGTTGGCAGTAGTGACAATGCAGATCAAGAGAGCCTTCTCGGCCTCAGCGGTCCAAGAGTTGCCAGCCATTATTGCGTTGCTGATGTTGCGATGCGGAGTGCTAAGAGAGTCAGTCTCAAGACGTCAGGTTTCTGTGTGAGAATTGAGCGAAGATAATGAGATTCCGAGAGAGGATGACAAGCCAGCGACGAAGAAAAGAGAGATGAGTGAGAGAAAGTGCGATGAGTGACGGTGGAAGAGAGTGGTCAAGTAAAGAGAGTAGAGAGGAGGAAGGTTTGAGAGAGATTGTATTGGCCACTGGGTGGTATGAAATTTGGGAGGCGCGGTGTGTTTGAGATGAAGAAACAAACCCAGAAACGCGTAGGATTGCGATGACGTGATAGACAAAAAGAGTAGTGGGTGAAATATTCAGCTTTGGTCGTAATGAAAAGAGTTTCGCGACGAGTTGAGACTCGAAAGTGAGGTACTTAGCATGAGTAAGAGACCACTTACCTGGTATGCTGTATATAGCGAAGTGTGATGATGTTGATCTCCTATGGGCGAAGATCTCGCTCTCCAGTCGAGGGGTTGTGAGAGGTGAGGTGGGTTGAAGAGGAAGAGGTCAGTGGAGGGGGTAGAAGAGGGGATTATATATCCTGGGTGGGAGACAAAACCTTGAGAAGCCCGGAGAGGTCAAGCAGGAAAGAGCTGTAGTGGTCTGAAAACCGGCACTCGCCTCAACTATGGGACGGCACCCGCCTCAAGGGGCTATGGGATAGCACCCGCCTCGAGTTAGGACGACCGTCACCTCTAGGGTTGGCAGACGGCACTCGTCTCAAGTTGGGACGGTACTCAGGCTCGAGTATTGGACGGCACTCGCTCCAAGTATACGATGGCACTCGCTCCAAGGGGTAACTGGATAGCGCTCGCCTCAATGATATGAAAGATGGTGCCCGCCTTGAAAGGTGAATAGATAACACTCGCCTGAAGTGTAGGATGGCAGTCGCTTAAAAGGGTAGTGAAATGATATTCTTCTCGAGAAGTTGGATATGGCACTTGTCATGAAAGGTGAACAAATGGCCCTCACCTCAAAGGGCTGCAAGATGGTATTCGTCCCAAGAAGGCACTCGTCTCAGTATGTCAAAGGATAGCACTCACCTCAAGAGGTGAATACAGAGAACTCGTCTAGACTATGAAATAGCATCTACCTCGAGGGTAAGTCGATGGCACTCGCCTCATGCCTTTGAGAGATAGCACTCGCCTTAAGTGGTTGTGAAATGGCACTCGCCTTGAGAAGTTACTCGAGAGTAGCACCCGCCTCGATACCTTGGGTTAGAGGTGTGTCACCCGGCTGAAGGTTTTCACACAAGAAAGGTGAGAGGTGTGATCTCAGACCTATGATCTCTTGATGAGTTTGATGAGGTAGTAGGAGACTTCTATTGAACGAGTGGGAGGCAAGGACTTGTGCTCACATTGTGATGCAAGAGAATGATAGACTCAAGTAGAAGACTGAGAAGGAAAGACTTCGACAAAGATTATAATAAAGGGGTTGGAACTTTACAAAGGAAGGATAAAGAACAAGTGGACTCGAAGCAATGACAAGACGTAGCAGTCTCCAGCTTCCCTAAAGACGAATAGAAATCATGGAGCTTGGCACATAGTGCAATAAGGTAAGTGAACCTTAACCCAGATGAGCGGGAGCGGGAGCGGGAGCGGGAGCGGGAGGGACAGATCTCACTTGTTGCGATGGAGCAAAGTTCCGATGTGGACAGAGGAGAAATGGTGGGTTGGAGATATTTTCCAGTCAAACAGGGCTATTTAATGTCAATGTAGCTCATAAATTCATGATGTATTGCTTCTCGCTAGCGCTCGTCTGATCGTTGTGCCGTCTCATGTTTCGTCCCAAGGTACCCCTCTGACAATCTGTATGTACCTCTTCATCCAGCCTCAGTCTTGTCAACTAGCCCAGTACAGTTGAGCTGAATCCCAGGAATATAAAAAGTACAAGTATTGGCAAACAATATTTGGAAGAAGGAAAAGGGATCACCAACAGATGAGATCGTACTAATCTTGAGCAAAATATTATGCTATAAAGCCCTTTCATCTTGACCACTATTTGCTTTGTCGCTTCCTGATCACGCTTTATCTCTGAGATTGATAGCTTACAAGATGAGGGCAAAGGGACGCTAAAGGTACTTAGCTATTGGCAAAGAGAAAATGGAGGGAATAGGAAGACAAACCGAAAGGCATCCTTGACTTGTGATATAAACACGCCAGAGTGGGTATTGGTGGTGGGTTTATAGATGTATTATATCATTAGGGAACATTGTGTGAAGAGGTACGTAAGAAGTCAAGTAGAATGAAAGACCAGGATATTGGGTCGTCTGTTACTGTTATCGGAAGAGCTGGATGGCATAAGCTCAAGGCAGGGGAGGAGATATTGAAACATGAGGACCAAGCATGATTTGACGACAGAGAATTAAGATTGATGTTGAACTGGCATGGTACAGCCTCTTGGAAAGGAGAATGCTTCTTTTGCAGTAAACCTCTTTCATTTAGCTAGCAATAAGGGGGAACACAATGACTGATCACCACCTGAACAGGGTTCTAGAGGGGCAAGAAAGTGGTGGACAGGATGCTCCCGAGGCCGCCATAGTGATACAAGAGCATTCGAAATCAATAAGCAGAAACTCGTCATAGTAATCGTCATTGTATGTGTGTAAAATTCTAAAGGCCCCCCTGCTTTCTTCCGGGAAGCATACATTCTAGGCCAGACCAGTACGCCGTTTGCAGGGTGTTGCATAAATTCATTAGTACATCTGGTGGTCCAATTCGATGCGAGTAGAGGAGTGGCCAGCACAAAAGAGACAAGAGACAGACAGAGGAGAAGAACAGAAAAAGCCAGAGACAGTGGAGAGAAAAGCCCGAGGTATTTTCTTTTTTCCAACCCGGACCCAAAACGTATAAGATGACCTCTCCCTCAATACCATTCTCACACCCACCAGTATTCGCTTGAACCGTTTTTCAGGTTCGAAAATATCATGGGTGGAAATGGGTGTCCCAGTGCTCGTTCTTGATGTTCATGTGCTCAGGCATGAGAGACCCCAGCGCGGGAGATCCGTGCATGTCGTCGGTATGCCCCTGACCGGCCTGGTGATCGCACAAGGAGCCGACGCCGAAGCCGTCGATATCGTAGGCGGCGTCAAAAGCCGAGTAGATTGGACTCGGTGCCCAGGAGTTGTGGTCGTGCTCGTGGTGGTGCTGCTGTTCTGGCTCGTGTGCGCAGGCCATGGCCGATGGAAGATCGAAGGTCGGGTGAGCGCCCATGAGGCTTGCTGACGGGCTGAACTGCAGGTTGTGAGGCGCGGAGAACATGTCGTCGCTACACGGCGTGAGCATCCTGGGCTGAAAGGTCTGCTGGCATTCCGTGGCGGTGGGAGACGCCATGGATGTTGGTGTGAACTGCTGTCGGTAGGAAGGCTGGCTATGCTCATGCTTAACCTTGACAGGAGACCTGGCACGAGCCTCAGCTTGGTGAAGAGCCTCAAGAGTCCCTGGTTCCGGCTTCACCCTCTTCTCGTCGTCGTCTTCCTCTTCCTTTTTCGGTGGCTTTTGCTCCTTTTTGTTCTTCGTGACCCTGTTCTTGTTTGCGGTGGCTCTGTTACGTTTTTGAGGCTCGAGGCCCAGCATTGCCGAGCGGAAACGGGAGTATCTCATGCGAGCAGCATGGCCGTTGGTGATGGGTTGTGATAGTATCGGATCATGAGCGACGGCATTCCAGTCAATCTGGGGATTGAGTAAGTCTCCAGTCAAGATGATGTGATGTGGTGGTAATAGAAAGCACTTACATCCTTGAGGTTCTTCTGTTTCAAGATAGCGAAGAGAAACCTTGTCATCTGGTTGTCTGTATTGGAGGACATGTTGAGAGTGTTGAGAGTGTTGGAGAGTTGTCTCGCCTCGAGCTGACCAGGCTAAGGTAATGGAGGTGAGGTCGATATTGAGACCAGTGAGCTGGAGGAAAGGGGAGTAATTTGAAGTGCACAGCGATAGAAGCTGAAGCTTTGGCTCAACCCAGTCAACCAGCACACGATAAGCAAGTGTGGAGTTGGAATGAAGGATATGAGTCACTGTGAAGATTGGTGAGGCAAGGCGAAGCCCAGATATATGGCATCCAAGTCAGCAGGTTGTGATCTGGAAATGGTGCAACCGCTGAGGACGAGGCCAGTCACCGGTTGGTGTGGGTGGTCAATGAGGGTGAGGCGGACAAAAGAGGCAGACAAGGAGGATTCGTCAGAAGGCAGCCAGACAACCCTGGGACATTAACGGTAGTTATAGGTGCTTTGGAGAGGGCCCATGGACCATGGAACTAAAGGGAATGGGCATGCAAGTCGGCTTGATGCTGGTACCGAGCCTCGATGGGGCAAGTAGCTGTGGATTAGGAGCTGGAGTTGGCGCTGGCATCTGTACAGTATGAAGAAAAAGAAAGTCGAACGAAGATGCTTTCAGGGAAGACGCCGCGGCGCTTGGGCCGACATTTTATTGAGGTGTAAAAGTGGCAAACCCCTTGGTTGAGACACAAGGAATCAAAATAGTCCCTTGTTGCCTGGAGTTACGGCGGCAGGCTTTGACGGGGACGCATGTCCTTGAGAGAGTGAGAGGAAAAGGAAGAGAGGGGGGAAAAGGGGGGGTGTGTGACGTTTGTGGAGGGTGTGGAGAGATGATGTGGTGTGGTAGGTGAGGTGTGGTGAGGTGCAGACGCAAGTGCAAATACTCCGTCCAGCATCCATGGATGGGATGGGATGGTTTGGATCCAATGGCTTGGAGGTTTTGATGGCTACCCTGCTCACGCTTACTCGAGCGCTGATGAAATGGTGGAGGGGAGCTAAGAGGGTCGAGGTGTGTCGCGGCGCGGGGCCGTGTCATTTGCGCGTAAAGTGGTTTGAATTCCCTAGCTTTTTTTTTGCGCTGTCTTTCTCACTTTTTTTTTTTGCCTTCCGGCGTCCGCAGATCCCTCCCCTGCACCCATCCGGCATGATGGAGTCGACTAGACTCTTTTTGACGAATGAAGGTTTGAGCGGAAGGCCAGGAATTGCAAGGTACTTCGACTAGCGTGTCCGCCGATATGCGAGCACTAATTGATATCAACCATGTTTGCACTCGCAGGCAGAATTGACTCGTCAATTGACACGCAGTTTTTGTGTCTTTTTTTTTTCTGGGACTTTTTTTGCGGTCGAACGGGCCCCATCCCACCCCAATGCAAGATCCAGGAACGCCCAGCGGACCACTTGGAAACGGAACAGGGATCTTAATGGCATGAGACAGGTATGCGGTATGGATGTGTGACTCACTTTTCGAGTACTTTAGTCCAAGGTAGCTTTGGAAATGGAGGGGGTTGGGGCGATTGGCTATGTCCATGTTGCAGCTCCCAGTTCGCGCACTATTCATTGGCGGCCTTCCCACACCGAGTCGTCAAACAAACTTACGCAGCAGGCGGTCGACAGACACTTGTGACGACGCAGCATGATGCCTTCTGATACGTACATGGTATACTCAATAGCTTGCGAACACCCGGGTTTGCGCATCTAAGGTAGGGGTAAACCTGCTAGTAGCCACAAGGTTGGCGAAGCTTGCAGCGACGGAGCTTTCTGTGATGCGGAATACGGCGAATAATGGCAAACAGAGTTTGAGCCTCTTGGCCCGGTTTAGTGCCCCCTGAATTCGTGCTCCAGTCAATCATACTGTCGTAATCTCAATCTCGTGTCTGGCTGGGACATCCGTCGGCTGCTGGTGATGCGAGCCGGCGAGGGGAGGGGTCAATCGAGATGGCCGTCCAGTTTGGCAATTGAAGACCGGATTGATCGTTCAACGAGCAAAAGCACTTTAGAGACCAGGAAAAATTGCGTTAAAATGAAAAGATGCATATTGAAGCCATGAAACATGTAAATATGTCGCCCAAAGATCTGTTTGGCATTGTAGGCGACACGCGATGAAGTTGGTGGGATCGGGTGAAGTGGTTTGGAGACGCGCCTCGCGATTCCGAGGGGGCACTGTGGCCTCGCAATATTCCCACGAAACCACGTGATGTGTCATCTAGACCCACTTTGCGCATCGCTCACGGATCGACCTGCAGTTGCTGCCTGAGGTCTGACAGCGTCCGTTCTCCACACCTACCAAAACCGGCCAGAGCAGGTGAGGGGCGAGTAAAGCGGCGATTGCGACAGGGAACCTGGATGAAGGGGCCTCCCGCGGCTGTTTGGGAGAAGCTTCACAGAGGTAAGCTGCCTTGATTCTTGTTCTCATTGGAGTAAATCGCGCCTTTTTTTTTTCTTCACAGAGAGAGAGAGAGAGAGGCCATAGAAGATGACCGCCTCACGCAGCTCGGCAGTCACAATTAAAGTTGCCTCTTCAGTCATCTGTCAGGATCGCGCCATCCTCAGTGTGCGGCTTAAGATGCATGCGAGACAGAGTGCACCACCATTGGCTCCCGAGTTTGATCTCCCTTGAACTACGAGTATTCGGAAGGCTACCTTACACCGTCCGGCCATGTCTCGCAATCAGGCATTTGACAGATACGCTATCATTGCCAACCGAGTCGGCTGCAGGCGGGCAGCGGGCCAGATTCGACGTGTCTCACGAATCCATGTAATACTGAACGCGCAGCCGTCACTGCACGACTGACCAGGCAGCTCATCAACACGATTTCCGTGCAGAAAATAACATGTTGGATCGTATGCAGCAAGGCGCACTCGCTCAGGTCTCTGGTATGGAATGTGTGATATCCGTCAGGCACTTGATCGGAACAGAAAGTGCAGGCCAGCAAGAGAATTGAGAACTTGGAAGCTCTAAATTGTCTGCCCAACTGCGACGGAGCACTACGACACTGAGGAGGGCGCCGTCAATTGCCGCTAACCTACCTGCAGGCAGTGCAGGGTGCCATAGCTCGCTTGATGAACGGCTAAACGCCGGGTATTATGCACATGGGAGTCTGTCGGAAGATCCGCCCGCTGTCTCGTAGGCGTCCTTGGCCACGATATTTTTTGATTTATGGCCTCCCTCAACTTGTTTGCAATTAACTGAAAAGAAGAAAATGCTGTCAAAAACCGTTCCAGAAGAGATCCCCAAAGTTCCATGTTTTTCTGTCGGGTTTTGGGGTTTCTCAGAGGTGCGTGCAAGTCGAGTTCTTGCCCGGCGAAACGTTAAACCGCGCCAGGGAGCCACTCAAAACCCAGCGCCTTGACTTTGTTGTCTCGCGCCCCCCAACCACCCTTCGACCCATCGTTCTCTCGAGCTTAGCACACTACCAATTTCTCATCCTCGACCGCAAAAGATAGCCACCATCTCACATCCACTTTCAATCGTATAAGTCACAAATATCAGGATACCATCCACGCGAATCGCCGACATCATCCGTCGCATTCGCCATGAATAAAAATTGGAATGACAGAGCCGACAAGGATCTGTTCTTTACCATCCTGTCCGTGAAGAACATTGGCGTCATCAGCGGTTCAGAATGGACCACCATCGGCAACCACATGCGCACACTGGGTTACGGCTTTACCAATGAGGGTTGTAGGTGAGTTGGCGCGCCTCTCCTTCATGTTTATCCATCCGACCTACGCGCAACTTACTTCGCAGCGCACGAGGGCGTCATCATTGCGATTCGTTATTTCTAGAGAAATTGCGCGTACCTATGCGCCTTCACTTTTGCGCCGACCATTCTCTAGCCATCTGCATTCCCCGCTCTGTATTCCATCCTAGTCTTCTTAGTGCTCATTCTTCTCTGTTTCCCTCCTGGTCCCTTCAGAATGGACCTTAAACCCTATTGTGAAAGACAGAAGACGAAGTCAAGGACTGCCTTCAAGACACTTTTCGCACATTTCCTTGGGCCTCAAAACTATCACGTCATCTCGTTTCGCAAGGTTTCACTACAAGCAACTAGATACTCTGCAGCTGGGACGACTTGACCATCGATTCTGCTTCACCATAGCTTTCTCATCTTCTCATACCGAGCCCGCCTCCTTCGTTCCATTTACATACGGCAACTGACAGAATATAGACAACACTTTCAGGGCCTTCGTCGTGCCCAGCACAAGAGTGAGACAAATGGAGGGAGCCCTGACAACCCTCGCAAGGTTGACCCAACAACGAATCCAATCACTCGCCGTCCAGGCCCGGGTCGTGGGAGGCCCAAGAAGCAACCTCAGCAAGCCGCGCAGATGGCCATCGCCGTCTTGTCTGAGCAAAACGGTGAAGCCAGCCAGCCCAGCCAACTTAGTCAACTTGGACCCGATCAAGAAGTTCAAGCGGGTCAACCTCAACCTATTATTCAGCCCGACCTTCAAACCGATATAACCGATCTTCAGTCAAGTCTTCATCAGTCCGATCTCCCTCCCAGTCTTCAGCCCGATCTTCAGCACAACCACCAACCCGACCTTCAACAAAACCACCAGCCCGACCTTCAGCACGACCTGCAGCACGACCTTCAACACGACCACCAGCCCGAGCACCAGCCCAGTCACGAGGAGTCTATCCAAGATGACCACACCCACTTGGAAACATCAATCCTACCTGACAGTCTCATGTCGGAGTCTCTAGACCTTCCCCTTAAAGACGACGCTCTCGACTTGTCTCTCAAGGACGATAACGATGATGAACAAGACGGCCCCGATGCCAAGAGAATCAAGCTCGACAACCCTGCTCATGACCATGACCATCATTCTCTCGTCGATGACGAAGCTGTGTTAGCTTTGGCCGCGCACAGCGAACCCCCTTCTGATGGCTACAACTCCGAGTATCCCACAGCCGGCTTGACCGGTTCAGACCCGCACACTTCCTTCTTTGGTCCTGAGACATGAGAATAGTAGTCGACTCGCTTGAAAGCTTACGAGGCAAAGGCGGCGTCGGAAGCAGTGAATACATTCGAACTCGGCGGATTCGTTGATTTAGACTAGGTGTCAAATCTCTAAACCCGAGCCAGTCGATATTCCTCCTCCCCATCAGTTTTGTTAGGTCAAGGCGTTATGCATCAAAGCGGTAGCGGCATCAGGAGCGAGGTTATGAACACGACGAGGTGCTTGGAGTTTGGACTGATTAGGTTTTTCCATTGTCTGTGATCCTTCGACTTTCAAGGATACATGCTTAGCTGGCATTAACCGAGTGTTGTAATTGAGATTACTAGGTCTCTAGAACAATAAACTTAACAGAACTTGCCAGCTCTTTCTACCTGTCATACATTCCATCGAGATGAATCTACCTCAGACTCAAGAGCAAACGCTGTTCCATAATTCCCTTTCAAAAAAAAAGTCCACTGCCTTCTAGAACAACTCAGAGTTCGATGATGCACTAAGACACTCTGTGTCTACCAGCCTTCATGTGAGCTAAGCTATAGTTAAGGTAGTGGCTTGCTAATAGGTTGAAGACATCTAGAATGCTCCCGCCTTCTGAATTCCATGTGCCAGCTTGTTCATCAAGAGACTCCTGTTCTCCCGAGTTCTCTTCGTCATGAGGCGAGAAGGCTCTCGCCCCATGAGCTCCCCGTACCAACTTGTTTGCTTAATCATACGGTGGCTCTCGTCTTTCAGGTTTTGTTCACCAAGCCGAGTAAATATTCCCATTCTCTGAATAACATTGAACAATAAGAAGACTTTTGCCCTGATCGTTCCATCTGCTACTGTGAGAGGATGCTCTCGCCCTTTGGACTTCCTTGAGCAGCACGAAGGCTCTTGTCTTTCAAGTAACGTTTACCGGGCGGGAAAGGTGCTCCTTCTTTTGAGCTTGTTCGTCTGACATTCAGACAGACGCTTTGAGGCCGCTCCTATGATCAGGCGAGGCTGTAATCAGACGATGAGAGTGAGAATCTATATTGCTCTAGGCATTTTGGAAGGTAGTCCGAAGGCTCTCTCCCATTTAGTTCTGGTGATTGGGTATGTTTTTACCCTTTGAGTTTCTCGTCTCGCCTTCAGACGACTAGTTGCCTACCTTGAGACGGTTCAAACATTCAGACGAGGCACTGTTCAGACGAGTGAGATTTGATGCTGCTCTTGGCTGTGCAGTCAATAGTCAGAAGGCTCTCGCCTTTATGTTTTGTTGACTAAGGATGCTCTCGCCTTTGGAATCTATTAAGCAACAAGCAAGAATGCTCCTACTCTTTGAATTTCTCGTCTCAAATTCGGACGATTGGGTCCTTTGAGACGCATCATACCTTCAGGCGTGAATGTGTTCAGACGAGTGAGATGCAATGCTGCTCTAGGCCGTGTAACCAGATGGCTCTCGCCCTTTAAGTTCTATCTACTGAGGGTGCTCTCGCCTTTTGGGTTCCTAGTCCCGGCGTGTGTGCCAATCGGCGAGAGGACCCGGCCTCCTTGAGTCTCTATATAATTTCCTTCAGATCCGACCTCGAGAGCAATCTTTCTTTTCTTCTCTACACCTTCGACAATTCTCCTCCTCAACCATCATACAATCACCGTGGTCTCTTTACCAAAGCACAATTACAGAACATTATCTTCATGAACTATTCAGCCTTGCTATCTTCAACATCAACATTAACTTCACCATCATCAACGACAATCAAGACCAACATCGCAAACATGTCTGACAACAAGCAGAGCGGGAAATGGTCCAACCCGGTCTTTCTCCATAGCCTGGTCGTTGGCTTCTACGGCGAGCTGAAGAACGGCAGTCTCCCGCAGGAGGCTAAGTATCGTGTCGAGGCGAAGCTCCGTCGCGATGGCTTCGAGGACACCACCTGGGATGGTATCCGGTATGTACACGACTTTTTTTTTTTCTGTCTGGTTTCTGCTGTGGCATTTTTTTTGCTGCCTGCCCCTCCTGTCGGGGTTCTTTTTTTCTGTTCTTTGTTCTTGTAGTCAACCGGGAGCCGATCTGTCACTTTCGCTGCCTGCTACAAGTGGCTCAAGATACCCTTCTCATTCCCTTCTCTACACACTACGCACCCATATTGTCAGCCCCAATGTCTTTCTCTGACACAAACTTTTTTTTTCTTCACATTGCACGGATTGTTCCCCATCTAACCAACCCAATACTACACGAACGCCATCACCATGTCTGAGAAGTCTGCTCCCGGCGGCAAGTGGTCCAATCCGGCCCTCCTCGAGGCTCTGGCTATGGGATTCCATACCGTTGCCAAGGGTGAAGGCCTTACGAAGGAAGCCAAGGACGCCGTCATCCTGAAAATTCATGCCTATGGCTTCACGGATATCACCTGGGAGGCTGTCCGGTGTGTATCTCCCTCCTGCCCTCCTTTCCGCTATGGCGACTGCCTCTTTTCTCACCATGCCCTTCCTCCATTTATTTCTCGCCTTGCCCTCTTGCCTCTATCTCTTCTCTTCTCTTTCTTCTTCCATCTCTCATACTCAACCCATTTCTTATCAGCCTACATCAACTGTTCATTCTCCCTTCTACAAACATCATCACGTCAAGTTCCATCCATTTCTCCTACAGCACTTTGAAACATGTCTCGCTCTACGATCCGGTGGACGGCTGAGATCGATCAGCAGATCTTGGTCTCCATGGTCAAGACCATGGTCCCATCCACTGATCAGTACTCACTAATCATCGATGAGCTTCATGCCCTGGGTCACACCATGACCGTTTCTGCCTTGAAGTGCGCCTTCCCCCCTTTTCTTTCGGCCTTTTCCGCTTCTGCCTCTCTAGCACTCTCCTTCCTGCTACGCCCCAAATATACCTACCTTCCCCCAGATCAAGCGGTCTCTCACCTTTTTTCTTTTTTCTTTCCACTCTCATCTTCAATCTCATCTTCACTCCAACCACCACCGCTCGCCTATTTCATTACCACCTACCTTACATTGCTATTTCATACCACTGCCAATCAAGATGGCTCCAGTCACCATTTGGAACGATGAGGCCCGATCTGACCTTTTGGTTGCGCTTCTGTCGGTCATCAAGCCCTCTAAAGAGGACTGGGATCGCGTTCTACCTATAGTCCATGCCAAGGGCTATGTCTACAACGCCAATGCTGTCACGTATTTTCTGCCTTCCTTTCATGTTCATATTCCCTTGTCTCTCTGTTTTCTTTTCAAAGTTCAATAGCTTTTTGGTCTTAAGAAACTTTCGGTCTGCTCTAGGTGCTAACAAGCCCCTTCAGGCAGCACATCCAGAAGCTCCAGCGCAAGGAGCTTACCGCCGGCGACGGCGGCGACGGTGAGGCATCTGCCTCCGCCACTCCGAAGAAGGCTGGCAAGAAGGCTGCTACCCCCAAGAAGGCCGGTACCCCCGCTACCCCCAGAAAGCGCAAGACTCCCGCCAAGTCCAAGTTTAAGGTTGAGGAGGCGGATGAGGAGGACGAGGAGGACGAGCAGAAGGCTCCTCCTCCCAAGAAGCCGTGCACTCCTTCTCGCCCTAGGTAAGCCAAGTTGAATTTCTACTAGGGTCAAGTCTATCTCACTAATTACGTCTACGAAACAGCATGAAGGACGAGGTCCCTGAGGCCACCAAGACCAATGGTGCCAAGTTCGTCCCCGTCAACGAGGAGATCTAGATTCATTCTTCGACCCTCAACACTATCGATTCGACCACATCAACATGGCATTTCTAGGACGGTTTACTGGCTTTTCTGGAGTATGATATGGGAGGCTTGGATGAAAGATACGTGGGGTTTGGCAGCATTGGATCTTGATTTGAAGATCAATGGAACTGGCACAGGACTGGAGGTTATCACCTCATTGGGCAATGCATTTCGAGGCAGGTCATGAGATACCTGCGGATACGGGAAATTAACACTGAAAATTGAGAAGACTATTTTGCTTTCTCAAACTACTGCTTCTCTTTAAGCCTTGGCTGTCGCCTATCTCGACTTCCTGAGGATCTTCCGCACATTCCGCGTGCCCACCGCCACCTCCTGCTCACTTTAGTTGTAATCGCTCGATGATTCATGTACCCTTCTCATGAGAGACGGTGATCCCCTGTCAGGCGAAATGATTCTGACGTCAACCTGTGAATTTGAGGCAGCAAAGAAGAAAACGAGGAAGACTATGACGAGTGGCTGGCTGTCTATCTCATGGTCACAGCCCAGGAATTTTGGGCTCTTGGCTGAAGTAGAGCGAAACAGGTTGAGAAAGGGAGAATTGTTGCGTTTCCTGTCGATTATTGTGCCATTGCTGCCGGTGTAGAAGGAAGAAATTAGGCCAAGGAGGTTGTTTAGATTCTGTCGACTAGCTGTAGTGCACATACCGAAGGGCCTGAGAACCGTGTCCGCTTGTTTATTTCCACGAAAAGCACTTTGCTGAGTTACTTCGTACACCAGTAGCCGCACCTAGTACTCTCTGGGCTAATAGGTAGGATGTTATCCCGATGGAGGACACGCATCAAAAGTTCATGCGAACTGTTGAAGTTTCGTTTCTCTGCATCTCAAATCTCTTAGCCAAAGTTGACGTTGATGTCCTCCTAGACGGCGACTCGCCTCTGATACTTGCAAAATATTACAAAACATGAGGAAGAATACCACGACTATCACGGCCAGTTGTATCGAACGATGTGATCTCCTCTGACTTTGATGGAGATTTACATGGGAGGCCCAACGCCTCTCCCGGCGCAGGACTTGGCCTGAAGCAAGCGAATTCATGAAGTTCGGGGGAGAAACAGAGTTGTAAATGGATTGCCCTCGTGAGCATTTTATCTCGTCTTCCCAATATCTCCCAGATGTCACATGTCCCCCGGATGCGCAAGATACGATTCCCTTTGCGACGCCCAAGATCATTCAAGGGTCAAAAGCCACATTAAGACAAGTACAAACAAACATTCTCCCCCAAATAACAAATCCAACACCATCTAT